TACTTGTACGTCAAAATCGATTACTGACATTCACTTCCGTTTAAAAACTAACGTCACTTTTGCGACGAACAAATAACAAACTGTCAAATTGACATTCGTAGACATTGACATTTTACATTCAATTGTTTTCATTGGCTATAATGACTTACCTCTTTGCAAAGCTATAAAAATGTTAATCAATTATTTCCAATTTGCCATTGACAATATAAACGTCAATTATTCAGTTAATTATTAAATGACGTACGTCAATTTGACACGTTGTTTAAACGTGAGCAACGTTTGCCTTTCACGTAATTCGTAACGTATTAAATAAATTAAGATTTAATAAAAAACAAACAAACAAACACACACACAGAAAAAAAATGTGTGAGGTAAGAGAGAAAGAGGATTTTTTTTTGTTGAGTAAATTAATTAATTAATTATGAAATAAATACTTTAAAAAAAAATTCTCAGTCTCAGAACCACTCAAACAACTACTAGACTAATTAGTCTGCTGGATGTACGAGGCGCGTTATTTGACAAACACAAAAGTGTAATTAAATTTAAATATTTGATTCGTTAAATTTGTTTAAGTTTTTCTTCTCTTTTGCTGTTCCTTCTCTCGTGTGTGTGTGTGTGTGAGAGAGATGGATAAGCAAGGAAACAAATGTTTGTTTATCGTCATGGTAATGTTTGTTAGTCGGATGATGGAGGGAAGGAAGAAAGAAAGAAAGAGGGCGCTGCTTCTGCTGCAGCAGCATCTTCTTCTTCTGCTGCTGCCGCCCCCCTGTGGCGTTTGATTAATTTATTGACAAAGTGGATGGACATCTGCATTTCTTATTGACCCGCAATCATTAATATTAATTCCTTTCTTCGGATTTTTCTTCCCTCTCTCTCTCTCACACAAAACTTCGTCTTTCTTCTCTCCTCCGATCCTCGAATTCATCGCGATGACAAAAGAATGGTGGTTTGGAGTAAAACACGGGACGGCGCCCATTAATCCTTCGCGAACGACGGGACATTCCCAGAGAATTGATGGATCGCAGTCGTCGTCCTCCTCTGCTCTTTTATTTTATTTTCTTTTCTTTTTTTTTTCAGAAAGATCGAAACGAAAGAACGAAAAGAAAGCGAAGAGAACGAAGCATATTTGCATCCATTCTAGATTCGTTCCGCATTTATTTATATTCATCTGTATTTTTCGGGTGCTGGCTGCCATGGTTACAGCAGACAGAAGATGCGCGCTACCTGCAACCGATCTCAAACATCAGCATTTCTGTTTTGTCACCATGGTAACAGTGCGATAATTAAATGATCGTAAATCACAATCAGCGAGCGAAAATTTTCTTCTTTTTCGATCAATCGATCAAAATCAATCGAAGTTTCAAGTATTTTTTTTTAATAATTACTAGAGAAATTAAATTATATTCTCAATTTAAACCAAGCGCAAATGACAGATAAATTTGGTGTTTTTTGTTTTGTATTTATAGTTTAATGGGGTTGATCCTAGTAGGTTGTGTGATATGATGTGGCGGTGTCGGAAGTTTCGGGCGCTAAACGATCATTACTAAATATTTATTGCCTCAGAAGACATCATCTATCACGTTGCATGTGTGTGTATGTATATATATAACGGATCGGTGACAGTCTGGAGGCGGGTCGTGACGTTTAACATTCCAGACGGGAAGAAAAATATTTTTCGCTCACACTCTTCTCCTTCTCATTCTTCTCCCGCACACTCATTTTCCGTATAACTTACACAGTTCAAACATATAAATATACACACTCACACTCATTTCAGTGGAGCGAAGATAAACTGCGGCCAGAAATACGCCTAAATGAGAGATAATGGCCTATCGAGTTACCACATCCCCTCGTTTCTTTCCCATCTTCTTCATCCCATTTCTATATCCTCGAGGAGAGTTAAATGTGTGTGTATGTGTGTGTGAGTGCGCGCGCGATGTTTGCTTCCTCCCATCTATTATTTCTCTCCCCCTTATAAATTCACTTTGCCGCTCGTTAAACGAATCACTTTCGCACTTCGCTCACCCTCTCTGCGCGCCATCTTCTTGTTCTTGTTGTTGTTGTTTTGTTTATCCAAACAAACAGTCAAAGTGACATCCACTCACACTGTCAAATTTGACGTCTCTCGTCTCCATCTTTTATTTATTTGTAGGTTATATCAAGTTTACCGTTACGTTTCAATCATGACACATGTCAATTTGACGTTTCCAAATTTAAGCATATATATTCAAAGTTTGCCCAAAGTTTGTACGTCAAAACCGATTAGTCACATTCGCTTCCGTTTAAAAGTGACTTTTGCAATGTTAATTTAACGCTTTTGTTATGTCACTTTCTATATACCTATCAAAACTTGACACGTACGTCAACTTGTTTGAAGATTGTGTTTTGTTTCTATTCAGATTTATATATATAAATATAATGACGTGTTTGTAAATCATGATCGCTGAAATTTTATTAAATTAATCCGTATTAATTGATATTGGCAATTTTCGCTGGAAACGAGAAGATCTGTCGGTTGGGGTTATCACAGTAGCGCGCCCTCTTATCCGCCGAGGTTACGGATTCATAATTATAATTATAATAATCATAAGTCCAACAGCGACGGTAACTATGACAACGATAAAAGTGAATCGCAGACTCATCACGTTGGCACGAAAATAAACAAATAAATAAATAAACAAAACAAAACACTAAATCAAAAGCATCCGCGATCTAATTGCAACGCCGATAATAAAAAAAAACGGATAATTAATTATGTTTTTATATATGTGTGTGTGTGTGTACATATTTGCTCGGTTAAATAGTTGATATTTACGAAAAAAAACATAAATAATCTTGAAACGCGATAATTAATAATTATAATTATTGTTTGTTTATTGATAGGAGGAACGGAATTCCCAGAATTTTGACGTTTTCATTTTAATGTAACGCAATCGAAAAGGCGGCCGTGACTTTGACGTTAAGAACGTCATCGAAATAACGTTCTGACATTTGTTGCCATGACAAACTCGCATTATTCTTCTCCTTAATTTGACGTTTGAATGTGTTTCCTCCTCCTCCTCTTTCTTCTTTTTTTTTGCCGTTTGCAATTAACTGTGATTTACTCTGCCTCTTTTGTTTTCTTTTTTTTTTTTCTATAAATCTTATTTTTAACGAAACATTCCGATGTCGTTTTTTTTTCTATTTCATTTGTTTCTTTCCCCATCTGTTATTTTTAACCTCACCTTTAACAAACTATTAACACACTCTGTCGCATTTCAAAAAACAGTCGGTAGCTAATGCATTCAATTGTTTTTATTTCATAACGTAATTAATCTTAATTTGTTTGTTCGTTTTCGATTGTAACAATTAAAACAAACAAACACTTTGACGTTTTTTTTTGTTTTACAACATCAATTGTTACTTATCTCATTGATTAGTGTTTTTTTTTTCTTTATATTCAATAATAATTTTCTAATTGTGAAATGAAATTTTATCGGTTCGCTTTAAGACTTTTATTTGCGAATCGTAGATAGCTTCAATCAATATTACCAATTGCAAACGTCACCATAAAACGGTTCGATTTGTTTATTGAACTGATCTTAATTTGTTTTCTAATCATAATAATAATCGAGTAACCCAGAAAACAAAGTAGGTTATTACAGTTTTTGTTTTTTAACATTTGTTTTTGATTTCGTTTCCAAAGCCAATTCGAATTACCAATTATCGAATACACACATGACATTTGACGTCATTTGTTTCGTGCTCAAAACATTTATTTACTCTTAGCGCGGAAACATCCAAGAAATAAACAAAGCGTGCGAATTTGTAAACGAAATGTTCAATTATTTGCAATTAAAAAGTCTTATTTCGATTTAATTACACTCAAAGCGAAGAGCGAAGCTCGAGCAAAGAAAGTGTTTTTGTGTGTTCTTCATCTGTCTCTATTTGTCTTTTGTTATTTATAAAATTTTGTTATTTCATTTGTTTTCTTCGATTGTTTTTCAGTAACTGCAAAGAGAAGGTTTATCGCTCCATCGAATTTGTCTTGCGAAAAGTAAGCCTTGATTGTTTTTCCGCCTAATTGGCGATTTACTCTTAGCGCGGAAACATTTAAGAAATAAACAAAGCGTGCGAATTTGTAAATAAAATATTCAATTATTTGCAATTAAAAAGTCTTATTTCGATTTAATTACACTCAAAGCGAAGAGCGAAGCTCGAGCAAAGAAATTGTTTTCGTGTGTTCTTCATCTGTCTCTATTTGTCTTTTGTTATTTATAAAATTTTGTTATTTCATTTGTTTTTTTCGATTGTTTTTCGGTAACTGCTGTTGCAGCAAAGGGAAGGTTTATCGTTCCATCTTGTGAAAAGTGAGCCTTGGTTTTTTTTTGTCGCCTAATTGGCGATTTACTTAGCGCGGAAACATCTAAGAAATAAACAAAGCGTGCGAATTTGTAAACGAAATGTTCAATTATTTGCATTTAAAAAGTCTTATTTCGATTTAATTACACTCAAAGCGAAGAGCGAAGCTCGAGTAAAGAAAGTGTTTTTGTGTGTTCTTCATCTGTCTCTATTTGTCTTTTGTTATTTATAAAATATTCTTATTTCATTTGTTTTCTTCAATTGTTTTTCGGTAACTGCAAAGAGAAGGTTTATCGCTCCATCGAATTTGTCTTGTGAAAAGTGAGCCTTGATTTTTTTTTGTTGTCGCCTAATTGGGGTTTCTTTTCGAGAAAAAAGGTTTTCGCCGCCCATTTAATTATTGCGTTAATTTTCTGTATAATTTATGTTTCTCTCTATTTTTCGTTCGTTTTGGGGGAGGAGAGAGAGAGCGCAAAGAGATCTCCGATGGGCGATTATCGAGAGTGAAGAAGGACCTTTTCTTTTGTTTCGTTCTTCTTCTTCTACTTTTGGGGCTGTTGCTAGGTAGCATCGGTTTTTCGGTAAACAAGAAAGAAGAGAGAACGCGCGCGACGGACGATGATGATGATGATGATTAACGAGCGTCGTTGTTGTTTTACCTGTATTGATGTTGGGCACTCCGAAGGGTGCACCGCCGGGACCCTGGAAGAGGTGGGCGCCTGGACCGGCGGCAAAAGGTCCGACCAACCCCTGGGGCGGCCAATTCGCTTGATAGACTGCAGCCGCGAGAGCAGAGAAAGGCGTCGGTCGAATAGGTCCAACGCCTCCTCCTCCTCCGCCGCTCAAATCGCTTCCTCCAATTCCTCCTCTAGCTTGAAAATCTTCGCTTCCTTTGGAGCGCACCACGACCATCTCTTCGTCATCGTCCTGGTCTTGCTGCCGTCGCTTCTGATCCGGGTTCAGATCCTCCACGTCCACAATCGAATCTTCGGCATTACTATCGTCGTACTCTTCGTCGCTCGATTGATTGTGATTGTGATGATGATGATGAAGGTGTAGATTGAGATGATGTTGAGGGCTGGAGGAGGCGGCAGTCGCCGTCGGTGATGGCGATGGCGCTCGACTCGGCCTCGTGTCTGCCAGAAGCGATGCCACGCTGAAACTGATGTGTCCGTTCTTCTGTCCTCCACTCGCGGTGGAAGTCGTCGTCGCAGCCGCCGTCGCACCAGCAGAACTAGCGACTGCTGAAACCGTCGTCGTCTGTTGCTGCTGTTGCTTCTTTTCGCTGCTCATCCCGTCCGCTTTTCTCGAGTCCAGGAGGCCCTCTTGGATAGTCATACTCTCCGTTATCTGATTCTTCAGCATGAAGCGTCCACTCGAAATCCAACTCGAAATTTCATTCAAACCGCGCACTCTTCTCGCAATAACAACAACAATAACAACAACACATGATTGGTAATACGAAAATGTCACAAACTTTTCAAATTCATCATCATCATTTGTTTTTAATTCGTTTGTTTCGTCGCGCGCTTCGATTAATAAACAACAATTGCGGCGATAATGACGGGATTTCGCGGCGCATCTGCGTCCATTTAGCATGGGTAACTGTGGTACACTGAGCGAGAACGATCGCCGGGCCATTCGCCGCTCTCTCTCTCTCCCTCTCATTTCCACTCGCGTTCGCTCTCTCTTTCTCGCATCGCGCTACCATTCACTCTCGGCGATGCGATCGAAACGGGTGTGGCCGCACCTCGACTCCGCCCCCGCTTCGATCGAACCACGCCCACTTCGACTGTCTCTCGTTTCGACGCGTCCGCCAATCGCGCGTCTTCCTTCTCCCACTTTACGCGTTCAACTGCGAAAGATGAAAAGAGTGAGTGAGACGCACACACATCGACACACACACAATCACATTTCGTTTAAGTGCTTGTAGCACTCGTTTATGGCACGCATTAAACTTGACCAAACTATAATTACCTACCGTCGTGTTATTTGCTTGTTATCTTTATCCTTTATTGCCTTTTTTAAAAGAGCGCGCGAGGGACGCGTCTCAATTCTTCCTCTCCTTTTCCCAAAACGACAGAGAAAGCGACACAAAACAGACGATAAAAACAATTGGTGGCGGCGGCGGCAGCAGCAGAGAGAGAGAGAGAGAAAAAGAGAGTTTAGAGGTGGCAGCAGCAGCAGCAGCAACTTCGTCTCCTCTCCTTTTTTCCAGAGAGAAATCCATTAAAAAAACCCTCTCTTTCTCTCTTCAATTAAAATGTTGCACAGACTAATTGGAAATTTGTACTATGCGATGCCATTAAAATTTCGCAACCTCTCTCTCTCTTCACCACTACTACTCTTCTTTTGTCTTTTCGAAATGCCCCCTTTTGCTATTCTTTTATTTCTATTTATTTCATTTGTTTGCATTCATACACAATTCATTTCATTTGTTTCTTTTTTTCAATACAAATCACCTCATCAACATACTAATTATCTTTTGTTTCAATCATAGATAATTCGATTTTCTTTCTATTTATATATAAAAAAAAAAATCATTTCCACCACCTCCTCCGACGATGTTCCCACTTTGACGTAGTGGAGGAGCTTGCGTGTCCTTAACTCTTCTCGTTCTCTAAATTCAATCAATTATTTTTTTTTATTGAAATAATTCATCAAAATTGAAAGAAAGAAAAAGTAGAAGAGTTTTGGTCCAGACCAAGAGGAACATCAACAATAAAAAAAAATCGGGCGTACAAAAGAAGTAGAAAGAAATGTCATTCATTTTTGACAGAAACGTCAAAAGTTTGACGTCGCGTAACGCTTAACCTGAAACAACGATCGCGTTTCTTTTATTTATTTATTTTTTGTCAAAATACAAATTCGTTTGTTCGATTGTTTAATGTTCAAAATGTTTGTCAATTGTTTTTTTTTCGTATATAAGAAACGTCAATAAATTTAATTCTTCGTTTGTTTCGTAACAAACGAAGAAGAAGCTTTCGCAAGCGCGCATCCATCGAGATAGAAGAACGTCGTCTCCAACGGTTACGCAACGATTTCTTTTGTTTCGCCATAATGAGACGACGGGTTAATTACTAAATCATACTTTTTTTTATATAAACCAAATTTGACGTTTACTTTTTACTCCATCGTCATCATCATATCTTCATTTGTCTTTACGTTTTTTCAATTCTCTCTCTCTCTCTCATTAATTATCTTGTTTTTGTTTTGTTTTTTTGTTTATTTTTGTTTTTCTTGTTATATATATATAGAAATGTGAAGCTTCCCTCTTTCTCCGCAATCATTCGTGTGGCGCGCGCGAGCGTTCTGCTCTCCTCTTCGCATCGCCAATTAGCGGCTAATTAAAATTTGTAATCGGCAAATAATTAATTCCCAGTACGGACGGACGGGGACGGACTGTGATAATTGGAAATTTGTCAATATCTCCATACATTCTCATATCTCACTCACTCACTCACATTATCTTTTTCTATTTCTTTCTTTCTTGCACACACACACTCACGGACACGTTAAACTTTGCCCTCCCGTTTTCAATCCTCCTCACAATCTCCACTTCTTTCTATAATCATATTCCATTACGCGTCTTATCGACTAATTTAATGGGAATTTATTATTAATTCCAATTTACTTAAGCAACCGACGAAACAAAAACAACCACTGAAGCTTCTCTTTCTCTTTTCTTTCTTTTTAAAGAAATAAATCAAGTGCGCGCCGTTTAATTAACAGATTTTAATTGAAAATCGATAACGTCTTTATTTACAAAACAAAACAAACTTGATTAAACTAATATAATCAAAGCGTACGCGATCTGTTATTACGTAAATTCGTAAGAAACAAATGAATCGATTATGAGAAACAAAAGAAATATAATATAATGAGAGAGGGACAAACAAAGGAAGCGCGGCTCAAATTCCTCGAGTTATATTCGTACTTAAGTCAACTTAAGGAAATTCGCGAAATGTTTCAATCCGACGTTGCTGTTTTCGGTGCGTTTCGACGTTATTATTTCTGCGGTAATGAGGCCTCGATTTTCGGATTCCGCGAGTTCTGATCGTTTCTCCTTTTCTTTTTTTCTTTTTTATTTTGTGTGTGAGTATATCTTTTCTTTTTGGTCCTCGAGAAGAGAAGAGGACACATTTAACGAGATGCGTCTGCAAATTGCCTGTTAACGGTAGCTTCTGGTAGCGAATGCGAAAGAGAGAGAGAGAGATGGAAAGAGTGTGCGTTGAATGAATGAGAGAGAGAAAGAGAAGTGGACGATTTCGGGTGGACGAGGGTCGAGGAGCTCGACTGTGTTCAGCGCCCTCCCTCGGACCGCGCGTCCACCGCATCGATTTTTATGCGACGCGACGCAATTACACCTAATGATCACTTAATTGTGAGTTATTGGAGTTGTTAACTCGCCGGAGCGATTTTACTTTCTTCTCTTTTTTTGTTGTTTTCGGATCTTCGGGGACCCGAGAAAGGAGGAAGGACGAAAAACGAATTCGAAACGAAACAAAAGCAGACTTATATCACAAGGATGAGATGATTATTTCTCAACGAGAGAGAGAAAGAGATGCGAAGCGCATTCTGCCCGTCCGTAATTAGCGTAATTGAAACATTTCGTTGCCGCTTCTTGTCCGTTCGGGAAATTAAAGTGGAAGAAGAAAAAAAAAAAAAGTAGAAAACTCGCATTATTATTATTGGGCCACGAGAAACGCGAAACAAAAGACGAGCCATTCGCTAATTAATTGCAGCGTCTCATCCTCATGGCAGGCCATGAAAACAACGACAAACAAAAGAAGAAATACACCCCCAGGTGAGCATCGTTTCTCTTTTATTATTTCCTCGGCTTTTGTTAAACGTAAAACTTCGATTTGCACGCATGAATCTATTTATATAATGCTACTAACTCTGTATATAATAATGATAATAATATATAAATGATTATCTGATTATCAAATTGCCTGGTACAAATTTGAGGGTCGAAACGTTAGTTGGCTATGAATGGATACAAAAAAAAAAGGTCGAGAATTGAATTGAGTTTGGGCTTTTGTGCGCGCTAAAGTTAAATACACTCACTCTCTCTGTGTGTGTGTATAATATTTACCCTCCACATCTGAAACTTAACCGACTATAATAAAGTGAAATGCGCTTATAATAAAGTGTCCGTGGAGGAATACGTATTACATTTCCCCCAGATTGCAGACAAAAGGGGGAGTTGAATTGAACAGAATATGAGAGAGAGAGAGAGAGATGAGAGTATGAGTGTGTAAGAGAGAGTAAGAAAGAGAGTTGAGAACCATCCCTCTATTTAATAAACGATGAAGTGCCAAAATCGACCCGCAAATTGTAAAGAGACAGAGACGAACGTATTTTGAATGTATTCATGCTTATAAGTGTGAGAGAGAGTGAGTAAATAGCAGTAGTAGTAGTAGTTCCGGCTCATGATTTCCTAATAGAGAAGGATCGTTTACATACGACTTGTGTTGTTGTCGTAACTACCGAAAACCCATTGATTTATACTACAAATGCTATCATATCACCCTCTTCACACACTCACTCACTAACACTTACAATTTCAATTCCATTATTACATCTTCCACTGTATACTCGCACTCGTACCAACACAACAAAAACCCAAACTCGATTTATAGCCAATTTAATTAAGGAATACCACCTCTATACTTAGTACCTAAAGAGAGAGAGAGAGAAAGAGAGAGACGAAATACGAACGCAATCACGGATTTCATAAAAATTCCAATCATTTAATAGCCAATTAGTGCAGCTACCTTTTCCCTACATTTGTTTTGTTTATTGACCGTATTTTGTTTACACGTTCATTTTGTTTTTATGTCCACTTCTCCTCTTTAAAATTTTTAATTGTTTTTAGGTCTTTTTAATCTTCACATCTCTCTCTCTCTCTCTTACACGCACACATTATTTATTACTTTTGACAAGGTTAGGTTATTTTTCGTTTTATTGACAATCAAACGTCAAAGTGACACATTTTCGGGGGGGAGGTTATGTTTTCGTTTTTATTTCCTTTCCTTACAATTAAAAAAAATATATATATAATTAACTAGTTTTACTGCTCAAACCGACACATTTTCGAGGTTATTTTTATTCTCAATTTTTTTTAGTAAAACACGCTTCATTTAATTGGATTAATTTTGTTTTGCGGTTTCTGAGTCTTTTGTTTCGTTTCTTATTTTGCTTTTTTTGTTTTTTGTTTTGTTTTTTGTTTCGATCGTCTACCGTTTTCCTAATGGCGTTCTGGATATTGTTTCGTGCCGTCGCCGTGGATTCTTTTGTTTCGGGGAATTTAATAGCCAATTAGCGTTATTGACGAGAGAACGAACGAAGCGAGCGCGCCCTCTCTTTTTCCATCTACTACCTCGATATTCGTCGTCGTTTCAACTTGAATGATGATGAAGACAACGTATAACGGGGTTGAGCAGAGCAGCGCACGCTAATGAATTGTCTGTGTGTGTGTGTTTAAATTTAGAGTGCTGCTGAACGAACGAACATGTGTTGTTCCGCAATTAAGACACGCATCCAACGAAAGGAAAACAAACAAAACACAACAACAACAAAAAAAAGACTACTTCACG